ATGGACTACTGTTTTTAAGGTGTTTTGTTTTTGTAATCTTTGAAGCATGATGGCCCCTTGTCACCTTTTAGTGCATGAAAAAGAATGGCATGTCTAACATCTTTTGAGATCTATAGAAGACAAAGCCAAAGGTTTAGAACAACAAGAGGGTGATGCATCGCTTTAAATTTATTGGTAAAAAAAGCTAGCAATAGTGTGTGGTGCTGGGGCTGTGATAAGGGCCTTTCGCAGTGCTTTAGTTCCAGAACTAAATGTACTGTACTAAATACTGGGACGATTTTGCGCGAACTATTTCCCAGTACCATTTAAAGGGTTGCATTCGCACCAAGAGTGTGTACTAAGAAGTGACGTAAGCCGGTCGACAGCGACGTCATTTGTGCAAGGCATTCAACAACGGAAACAAAGAACAACATTAACAACAGGAGGATGGAGGACGCTGTGATCGGAGCTGTGTTTTTGTTGTGTCTCGCGGGTTTCACAGTAATGAACATGGAATGTCGACATATACGTAAAGCGATTGAAAGAATGGAAAGGAGGACTAAGAATCTCCAACGACAACTGGCAGTGCTACATTTGCTACAAGTGCCTGCACTTAAGCATCCGTCCATCTATCGCTGTTCTCCATACTTGCAAAATAAGTTGACACAACGTTTACAGTATGTTTACACAGCGTTTTAAATCATGGCGGGTGAGGGCGTTTTCGTACGCGTTTGGCCAATCAATGTCTACGTCACGGGTAGTACCAGTTGTGCTAGTTAGACCCTGCTCCGGAGTAGGAGCTAATTTGGTTCTCGAAAAAGGCAATCCGGTACTAAAATCGCGTCCAGTTCCAGTGGTGCGAAAACGCCAAAAAGTGGGTAGTTCCACAATTAGTTCTGGTACTATGAATTTCCACAATTAGTTCTGGTACTATGAAAAGGTTCCCGCGGTGCGAAAGGCCCTACAGCCCCCACAAATATTTACAACAGGTACTTTGTAATGTACAATGATGCAGGGATGAAACAACTCAACTCTATAAAGAATCATTATTAAACAGAACTGCACAAGTAGATGAAACCACAAAAATACCAGTTAATCATGATGTTACACACACAACCTGGTCTGAACACATATGTGCTGCTTGAACTTGTCATAAAGAGAAGTTGCTTCTCAAGCAACAGCATGGTCACTACATATACAGCCTCAAACCTTAAGACTTATATAACCAAAAAATAACCACTTTAACTGATACTTTGCATTTAAATCTTGTATCAGTTAATTTGCCTATACAGCAGGAAGACCTAACCCTTGCACTTAAATACACTCATAATTAAAAAAAAAAAAAAAAAATCTCATGCAGCCACAAAATAAGGAAAAAAAAATCTACTTAGAGGATCATATACAAAAAGTCTTGTGATAGTCAAATGTTTTTGAACAGCCACAGATAACCTATATTGCACTACACAGGACCTAATATAGTTAGGTAGAGGGGTTGGCAGGTAGGGTTGGGCGATAAACTATCATACTGAGATTGCGATAAAAAAAAAATGTTGACAACGATGCCACGCTCTGGACATATTTATTTGATTTAGATTATTCTAGTGGCAGAAATAAACACGACGACAGCCATTCAGTACATGCTGCTAAGTCGTCTGCATGTACTGTGTGTCTCTGTGTGAATGAGTGGCACAGTTCCACCTACTACACAAACTCAAACACATGTAATGCTCAGCGTTTTCAGTTTCTGCTGTCTCAATTGAGGACATAAACTTAATCTCCAGAGCTGCTCTGAGAGTCACTTCACAAGCTTTTCACCATTTAATTTGAGGAAAAACTCAAATACACACCGAAACTCAAAGATCTTCACAACAACCTGCAAAATTAAAAGTTTGGTTTAACTTGAAGAAATTATAGCAGAAATATATTACCGTTGTACACTAAAAAAAAATGATATTTTTAAGGAATATCATACAACTAATATATTTTTCAACCACGTTTTAATATGGTTCTGTTGTGCAGCATCTTATTTGACAAAAGTACCGTTTTGTTGTAAATTGTTATATTTGTCATTATTACATTTTAAAGACTGATTAAATTGTTAAAGTTTTATTTATTTAATTAGACACACTTGAAGAAATTTGACAAATCATAAAACAAAGAATCCAGAAAAAAAAAACAAAAAAAAACAATGGAACACAGAATTTAGGGTAAATAAAATGGATTTTATGGGACCTTAAATTAATAGGTATATTTCTCTGTGGAGTTTAATTGTGAACAGTTGTTCACATCCACTCTCAAGGTCCAACATACATTTGTGGAAAGCATTTCTTCCCCTATTAAAACTATATTAATATGATAAATATCAATATTGTATGATATGGAAAAAGTATCATGATAATATTTTTGGCCACATCAGCCAGCCCCTATTGGCAGGTTCGTTGCTATGATTATATCTACAGTTTTCCCCATAGACAGGGAGTTAACATGTAGCAACTGTACAGTTGAATCCCTCTCCAGACAGCAATATGCAATTAATTAGGAAACACATGCTGTGTCATAGGCCAGTCATGTGAATTGTGTGTTGGTCATTAAATATGCGATGGGCATATACCATACACACCAACAAACGCTTATAAGATAAAAGGGTATTTCTTGCAAGTTAACATAAGGCAAAAACTCTACAGTATAACAGCGTTCCTAAAACATTAGGATGAAAAGATCCAAATGAGGGATTCAATAAACAAGGACAAACTTAGTAAAAATGTAACAAACTTTAACGCTATGCTTTTTTTCTCTTCTCATAAGAAAAAGCATTTTAACATGAGGGCAGAAAAGGGCAATAGTCTTCTACAACAAGCATGCTGCTCTTTTCATCTGACATTTGTCGGACTCTGATATTGATTTAACAGAGTCTCTGAATGAACCCAGAATATCACTTATGTGCCTGTACATGTAGAACATATAAAGGCTTCCCAGAAGCAGACTAATCTTTTTAAAAACTTCACACTCACATGGAGTCATTAAAACTGAGTCCAACTATAAAATGTATATTACTAATAGAATTTCCATGACATTTTAACATTATAGCTTGCAATAGAGGGAGAACAAGTCTGAATGTCAATTTAAAGTAACACAAATAAGCTACAAGACTGAACCTGGCTATGCAAATTTATGACTACAAACAACTGCGGAATTCCATATAGGACTAAAACAAGCAAGGAGAATGTCAAGAATTTAAATACAACTAAAAATGCATTCAATTGCTCTGTAATCTCATGGATGTAACTATTTATCACATGATCCAGCATCCAGGTCAGATTGAGTATTATGATTCAGCTATACTCTCGGTTGAATGAATAAACTTGTTTCTCATACACATAATACTAAAGACATTTAGTCTAATTTAAGTTCATAGGGCAGACTGACTCATGACACATGGTGACCTAACAGGAACTGGAAGCAGAATGCTGGAATTCGTGGGAATGTGGGTCCTACCTGAGCCTGTCATCAGCTCAGTCTACCTCCGCTGACTTCAATACCCCTCCCCCTGAATTCTAAACAAATACCAACAACACAAGGGGGGGGCACCCATTACAAGTTATAAAAAGCAACAGACACACCGGGGGGATTACATGCAGCTCTGAAATACAACAGCATATATGTTTGCAAGCCTGCTGGCCCCCTGAGAACTCAATTTGACATCAGTCATTTACTTTTATAAAGGCCTATGGTTTATCTGCAACCAACAAAACATACATTTTTAAACAAGACTGCATGCTTGGTAGTCAAGCAAATATTTAGGGGTGAGTGATATACTGGTATACACGATAACCCTGCAGAAATTTGGTAGAGATCGCAGTTATGATCCGCGTCACCATGAAAGCCTATCATCTGCACACATTTTTAAGACTTGTCAGTTTAAAGTCACGATGAAGTGTAAGCGGTGACCTTTTCTTCCATTTTGTGACATCCGAGTGCAATGATTATCAAAAATGGAAAAATGTAGGATGGGACTTGGTTCTTTGCATCAGTTGTTAATTGGATTTTGAGATGTCAGCATTGCATTTAAAAGTGGAAGCAGATAAACAAAATCTTGCAGGGTTGGAGTTAAAGGGGACTAAATGATTGGAGAAGTCCTGAATACGTCACCAGACAGAAGCCTGTAGTTTTCACCAGAAGATCCATTTTGATTAAACATAAGGTCAAAGCATCTTACAAAAAAAAAAAACTGAAAAAAGAAAGAAAAAGTAAAGAAACATATGGATGAAATGTTCACAATAAAATGCATTTAGAAAAAAAATAACAATTTGGTATTTGCATGCTACAGAGCAATCTAAAAAAAACTTGTTTTCATTTGTGTCCGTTCTATTTCTCATAAACAGTTTTACTTTAACTACAAATTATTTGCTTGTCTTCAGAATGTGAACATTTTATTTGTGTTAGGTTAGTATTTGCCGTGATATCAAAATTGGCATTAAGAATAATTTCAATTCCAACTAAAATATCGATAAATCGCAACATCCTTATAATATACTAAAACAACTGTATTGTGATATAATGTTACAATGAAATAAAATAACTCGTATCGTGATTGCTTTCGGTCATATCACCCACCCCAACAAGTATTAATTTTTCATCATGCAATTCTTGTCTGGAAAAGGCCTGTCATGTGTCAACAAAGGTGAATCCTGTTTGACAATCACAAAATCTTGGATAAAATGAAAGTACACGCTTGATTCTATAAGTAGCTGCAGTTTTAGAAGAACTTCCTTAGTGGGATTGAGAATTAAACATCTGCGGGACCTAACAGGTGCATCTTGATGTATGACGACAAACACGCATGACAAGTCGCCCTGAAACCCAGCGCCACACTTTATCATCATAATAGCAAATGATAGTTCCACTGACACAGAGGAGGAAAATATCTCAACTCAAATCTTGCTGTTTTAACATTGCGTCCCGTGAAATTTCAGAAGCTGCACTGGAGATATATTTACTTAAGCCCTAGCGCTAGTGCTGACACTCAGGTTAATGTGAACGTTGTAACATCTTGCATCTGCACTCACAAATAACACAGATGTCAAGATCCAAGCCAGAGCATAAGTTACCAAAACAGTGCAAAGGCCTGGCGAGGAACGCAGATAAGCTTTGCTAAACAGCTAATATTTAGTTACGTACCAAGATCCACTTAACTTCCAGGCTAGCGACATTTCTAGATCCTTCAAAATGACTGTCAGTAAGACGCGACGAGTGGCGAGATGCACTTTAAAGGGCCTAGACTGGGGTGACAAGTGGCTGAAGGCGGTGGAATGATTTCGGGATGGCTAACTAGCAGACGACGGCGTTGCCCCCTGATGTTCTCTTTAGGCCCAAATCGCAGCCTTCGTCTCTGAGCCCGTGCTAAGCTATGCTAACTCGCCTGAATTTGAGCTATTTAGAAACGCAACTGGCAACGTGGGTCGCGAAAAACGCAGCTGAAATGGCTGCTAACGGCGCTCCGCGCAAGAGTGTTGTTGTATTAATATTGCCAAGAATGGGACGTGACAAATCGGCCTCTTTAGATGAGGTGATTAATTCCATGGTTTTGGTGGGTTGGGAATGAAGCCTGTTAAGGCTAGCTGGAGTTAGCATGTGAGCTAACACACACACACACACACACACACACACACACACACTTTCCTGCTGGCTGGCTGACTCGCTCGCTCTCACCTCAGACACCTCATCCTCGTCGCTGCCGGATCCGGGGCCTGACGATAGCACCGCGGCCGCTGTGAGTTTGAAATCAAGTCTGTCTGTGGTGGGCCCGCCAGCCTCGCCGAACAAGCGGACTTTCTTGCCACCGACGCCGATCCCGAGGCCCCCGAGTCCGGCTCCTGGTGTAGCTCCAACCCCCATCCCTAACGCAGGGGAACGCGGAGTCACCGAGTCAATCTCGTCCTCGAAGCCGTCCGTCAGCATTGCCGTCCCGGCTACTGCATCCTGCATACTTTCCTAAATAATACGTCTGATTGTGAAGGTAATGTTGTCTCTTCACTTTCTTTGGGGTTATACTGTTATAAAATAATTACGTTTTACTTCAGAAAAATCCTCAAACTCTCCTGAAGCGAGAAGAGAATCCCTTTCCCCCAAGCCATTAACTTTCTAACAACCTACCCTTCTTCGCTCCATTTGTGTATGGTTCCGCCCCTGTTCAAAATATGCGAAGGCTATTGGGCACGAGAGTTAAGTTCTGGAACCCGATTGGCCGCAACACACGCTGCTCGACCGAAAGCACGCGACGTCAAGGTTGGTTTACAAGAGGGCTTTAAGATTTAACGCCAGGAAACATCATTTAGTAAAGACGATTGGACGTGGGCACGCTTGTCACACATTCCCGCCCTCTCGATACGCCTATTTTTGTCTTTTTCGAGAGAGTTGAGGTTGATTTGTTTACAGAATCACATTTAGGAAGTTTTGTGAATTTTAGAGGTGTCATGTTTACTGTAAGGCAATGCAAGATGCATCAGAAGAGTCGGTCACTGTCGAATTATTTTATTAATATAATATCTAATGTGTTGACAGTCAAGTCTGTCATCTCTGCGTCCGATATTTGTGGACAGCTGTGTCAATAACAGTACGTTTAGAGGGCGCCACAGACCTGGGTGAAGCAATACCCGGAATTCTGTTGAAGATTTAGTTATGGGACTTGTAGTTTATTTTGATAAGTATCTAATATTGTGCAAACATTATAAAATGTGGAGTAGAGATCAAAATATATTGTATCTAGTGGCAATACTGTACTTTCTTTGTGGGAAAGTTTAGTTTTGCATGGGAATACTTTTTTCATATTCTTCAACATAAATATACTTTCCCATTTTTGTATTTGTATGGAAGCTGTGAGTCACTTTGATTCATAGAAAAAAATGATTTATGACTTAAAACATTTATGCTATTGTTATTGAAAGCTGTTTTCAAAACTACTAGGGGAGATATTCGAACTTTCTCCTGCATTAATATCCTAATTCAAATTCAGTGAACTGTTTAGATGATCATTAAAAGCTCAAAAAAGCTTTCAGACTCAGCTTTATTATTTGAAGCACTCTTTATTCAATAAATGTTGCTACATTTTAATATTCTAAAAAAAATGTTTATTAGTTTATTTTTACATGTGAGGTTATTCAGGTGGGGTTTTTTTTAACAATTTTATTTTTTCCCCTCTATTCAAGCTGTACATCTTTCAGCACATATTCTTCCCACACATTTGACCAATTCATTTACATGACATTTCCTTGTATTGCACGTTATACATTGATTGTAATTACAAGGAAAAGATTCTTTGCTAAAATATAATTTTATAGGCTGCACTCGGCAGACAAAATATAGAGAATAACAAGAAAAATGTTTAGGACAAATTTTATTCATTTCCATGTCTCTTTTTTTTGTAAACGCTGACATTCCCAGCTTTTTCATGGCTGTGGGAATCTTGTAATATTAACCGACAACTTTTCACTTACAGAATAGTCTTCAGATCGCATCACAAACTACACATAAATAATAATCTCTGCAAATGTTATTTCAAACTGCATATCTTGTTTGTCCATTTCAGAAGAGTTTAAAACTGTTTTGTAAAAATTGTTTTAATATACAACGAAATACATATGTACAACAAGCTAAATATAAAATCAGCTAAAAAATAAAATAAAATAACAAATTAATTAATGTGACCACACATAAATCCAGATAGTGATAAATCACCAGTTTCCACGATTGACACAAATCGATGTATATTTGTAGGCTAGAGGGTGCTCAAAAACTCCTTCACCTGAAAGAAAAAAAAAAGTGCAAAACTTATTTACTATGTAAAAATCAAGTATAAACATGGCGGTTCTAAAACATTTTACTATCAGGCAAAACTAACGTTGCCATTATATACGTACCTTATCAATAATACCTTCTTGCTTAATTCTGTCATTTTTAAAATCCTCATTAACATCCAGGAGCAGTATTGGAAGGTCTTTAAGATACTCAAAATCCAACCTGTATATGACAAGATATCAATTTAGATATTCAAACATCGAAAAACAGTTCAAATACAAGTTTCAGACAGTAAGTTGATCACTAACTTTGTGGTTCGATTGTACAGCCAACACTCATGCTTATAATGCAGCTTCTCCAGGTAATCCAGGGGAATCCCTTGTTCCTCCTCTCGTCCTCTGAACTGAAGACGCTGCATACACCTCTGCAGATCATGTGTTTAATCAATACATCATAAAATTCTCACATTTACGTCACTTTTATACTACTACAGGTGAACCTTGCACCATGTAAGAAGCTGCGTGGTACCTCGGGATCAGCACGAAGATAGATCATGGCATCAAGCTCAATCTGGGACTCAAACTGAGTGAGGAGCCACGAATGCCAGTCTTGATAAATGGCCCACTCGGTCTCATTCAGATCTCCAGACTCAAAGAGGTTAGAGGCAAACACATATCTGGAGAATTAAAAAGACTTTTTAGTTTTTGTTTTTTCTCAGTTTAACACCATATTTAAACTCTTTTCCAAATTGTTCAGACAATCTGTTTAATGTATGTACCGATCGCTGTAGACGGAGCGCTCAAAGAACTGGACCGGTTGCTCTGCCTGCTGAAGTTTGGCAGAAGGAGGCTGAAGCTGTGCGCGGACACGACTCAAGCAGGCGTAGGTCTGGAAAGTATAAGACCAGCGACTGGGCTTGTCATATAACATCTGCAGCAGGTTGCCTCCACTCTTCTGGGACGTGCTGAGCTCCTACAGGGATAGAAGGGGATGTGTTATTAAAGATCCCTCCCATTAACATTTGAGACTGAGTTTGAAGACACTTCCTTCATAAAATATATTGTATACAGAGGGACATACTGTACCTCATACTCGTTCTCTGTGGTTTGTACATTGCACCACTTCCCAATGGGCTCTGGTATGACCTCCCACTCCTCTGAGGCCCGCTCCAAACAACGCACAAAAGTTGACTTCCCTGCCGCTGTTGCAGATATAAATGTTTTAAAATATAAAACATCAACACAACCAATCATAATTTGTGTTCTGCATCATCAAAGATAATAAAGTCATAACCCTAATAGATGTTTATGTCTGGCATTAATTGCCAGAAGCATGCTTAAACCAATTGTTGTAGAAGTTTGACTTATTATTAAAACATTATGGTACTAAATGTTTCTTATTGTTGTTATTATTTTAAATCATAGTCTGGATGTCATAAAATATCCTCATTTAACGTTAGCTGTCAACAGTTGCAGTTTTTAATAAATGTTTCAGGAAAAATATTTTTTGCGATTTTATTACCAAACGTGTGGCAAGAAGACTATTTAAAAACAATTCAGTCTAATAATAATAATAATCGATGGCTGTGAAGGCTCGCTCAACAAAATATTGTTATATATAATATAGTATTTGGCGCCAACAACACTAACGTTACTGTATTTAACAATACAAAAAAAAGCTCTCAAGCATATTACTGGATCATTCATAAAAATGAATATGTTAGCAACACTTAGGTAACATATTATGTGCGTATTATTTTATGCATATTATTTTGTTGATTAAACCAAAATTAATCCAACTTACCAATGTTTCCCTCTATTGAGATCTTCAATGCCCTTTTTTCGAAACTGAGGTCAGCGTCAAGGCTTGAACAAAATATCTTGGGAGGAGTAGCCATTATTGTATAAAATACTTAAATAAATAAACAAGCCACTGTATTATATATATATATATTTTTTTTTAAGTCTCTAAGACCAGCTTAACGCTGCCGCGCGCGCCTAAACAGTTTGAACTGGTTGAAATTCGCGGCAAGTCTTCACATGGTCAGCGGGGCGGGGCTCTAGTATATTCATTGCGTGATTGGCCAAGCCTACAAAAGCCTCTGTTTCATTGGTTGACGTTTACAGTGTGCTGAGTTTTATGGGTCTGCCTGTTCTTCTGAGACGTTTCCTGTTCTTTATGTTGTAAACATGGTGGAAGACAACGCTCATAAACCTTTCAGACCTTTAAATTAAGTAC